AACATATTTAATATTAAACCTTCACAAGTAAAAAAAGAAAAAGCTATTATTTTTATTGGAAGTCGGAAAAACCATCTTCTTGATAAGGTAGCCAAATAAAGGCGCAACAAAGAAAAACCAGATAATTCATAAATTTGAGTATTTAATATTTGATTTTAAGTATGAACTACACTTACAAGTACAAAATTTTAATTTTTAATTCCCATAATGTTGATCGCTCATATCTTTAATATTCATGATGCTCGAATTCAAGATTTCAAAGAATAATTATAACTCATTTACTATAAGTATCGAAGTCATATGATTTATACTTTGTTTTAAAATTAAAATATTATAATTTGAATATGAATTTAAATTTATTAATCGTAGCATTAGATATCGACATTCAATAAACGTAAAAGTATTTTTAGAATTAATTTTACAAAGTAAAATAAATCGAGTATCCTTTATAGGATCGAAATTAACTCTGATTTTTTTAATAGAGAAGAACTACATAATAACATTGTAACAAAATGAAGAGCATTATGAAGTTTATGGTTATCGAATGGGGTTTTTAGTACTTTTTAAATTGGTCTAGTAATTTTTTATTTTCGTGATCAGGATTTATCTTTTTGGTACTTGAATTAAGTTTTTGAATCATTAAGTCTAAGTTTAGAATAATCTTGAATCATTTTAGGTCTATTTTGAAGTTTAATGATTAAGGACTAATTTACAAGAATTATGAACCAAGTAGCTTGCAATGGCAAACAAAGCTTTGTGGCTCTTTCAAGTGCATGTACAATTTAAGGACTAAGGCTTTAGTTTGCCCAAATATTCTAATGTGATGAATCATCATGTGTCATCAAATGTTAATTTAACTATTTTTTAATTAAAGAAATGAACAATTTAATGCAAATCGGTGGGGGTAATCTACGGCAACAACATTTTCTCTTTCAAGTGCATGTACAAGTTTAAGGACTAAGGCTTTAGTTTGCCCAAATATTCTAATGTGATGAATCATCATGTGTCATCAAATGTTAATTTAACTATTTTCTTAATTAAAGAAATGAACAATTTAATGCAAATCGGTGGGGGTAATCTACGGCAACAACATTTTGCAAGGAGAGAGGAATTGCGTTGTTTTCAACCTTTAGTTTTCCACCATTGTTGAAGCTTTCTAAGCATTCAAACATTTCAAAACCATTTCTTCACAATTTAATCTTTAATCTTAAAAATAAGTACATATTTGGTACGCTTTTTCTTAGCTTTCATTTAGTGCCATTTTTATCAAGTTTACAGCATAAGTATTCTTGATCCTAAATTTGATGTTTACATAATTAAAGAGTATCCTATAAAATTTTATTGATTTTTAAACTTCATGATAATTTCTCATTATTTTAGAGTTTTGGAGTGCCCAAATCTTAATCCATTAAATTTAGAGTTTCCATGTCACAAGAAAGTTGATATTATGCTCTCAATGCTTACTTTGATGAAGTCCATATTTAATTGTACATTAGACAAAGACTTGATTGAAGGAACTTCTAATAGAAAAGAAAAATCAAGGCTTCTAGGAATGGTGTATGATATGGGATACTCAGTGTCGATAGGGTATTCGGTGAAGATAGTTTACGTTTTCGGATGACTCGGTGTCATTTCAATACATTAATTTTTATAAATTTTTATTTAAGTTTATGTAAGCATTTGAACTCATTTAAAGATCATATGATGAAATTTAAGTAAGATGAGTCAGCTTCCTTATATATAATATAATTATGGCATATGATATGGTAAATTTATGTAACTATTTTGTGTGCTTAATGTAAGCACGAATCAAGTTATGTTAGGAGCTATGTGCTTTCCTTTGATATTTGGTAAGCTAAGGTAAGATTTAAGAGCGGTATTTATGAAAAGTAAGTTTTTTTATGATAAGTTTAGTATGGGTACATATAGTCAATTGAGCTCGTGTCGAAGTTAAATTATGATCCTATGACGAAATGAGAGAAGTTGTGGATCTTTAACACACAAAAAAATGATTGTTGAAAAGTTGTGAATAATATTTTCCTTCAAAGAAAATAAAAGAAAACTTTGATCTTGAAGTATCAATCTTAGTTAATTTATAACCACTATATCTTAGTGTTTAGAAGCACAACATCTTAGTTTGACCAAAACACTATTTAAGCACTACAAGATCATTATTTGATGCATATGCAAATAATGTAGAAATAATTACTATACACGAGGTAGGTCGAGGAAATATTTAGATAAAACTATTGACCCAACATATTTAGAAGAATGAGGTTTTGTTTCACATAAATGTATGACTTACTTGAAAAGAGAATGTATCAAAAGAAACGTATTTCCCAAAAATTTCCTCCCTCATGGTCTTCAAAATAATTAAATAAATATTCGATGAATCCATTCAAGTGGTAATTTGAAAAGATCGATTGATCGTGTATGTTTACTTGAACTTTTGAAGATTGTATTCAAGATCGAATTGTAATATTCAAAGATCTCATGTGATATTGTCATGAGTGGAAGTAAATAAATATTGTATTCTTTTTCCCTTAATCAATGTTTTGTCCTACTGGAATTTCTTAGTGAGATTTTGAATAAAGCAACATGTTATGTGTATTAAATATATGTATATTTTGTTTCTTTTATTAATATTATTTTACTAGATTTTTATTTTTATAAGATTTTAACGATACACATTATCTTCATATACATCAAAAAGAGATTGTTATGAATATTTATTTATGTAGATGTCTATATCTACTTATAAAATAAATTTTAATATATTTTTTTATTAAGACTTTAATATAGATTGTATTAGGAGGGTCATATGAATGCTTTTTAAGATGTGTTAGCGGCCTATCATATGGATGACCTGAGATATACCGAGACATAGTTCACATGGGGACAAAGACTTACGGAAGAGAACAATATTTGAGAAACACTGGCTCATGGAAAAAATTTATAGGATATCTATTTCTTATAATTATAAATATATAATTAAAAGAAATATTGTATACAATTTAAATTAAATAATAATACAATTCTTCGTCCTTAATCTAATCTTTTCATATTTTATTCATATTGCTTCATTCTTTATCATTTTAGAGAAGAAGATGATTTTATTGGTTATATTACGTTTAATCTATTTTTTAAAAAGTTTTCCAACATCCCTATATACCAAACCTTTTTTTCTTCTTCTTATTTGCTTAAATAAGCCTCCTATTTTATTATTTTTATGTTGTCACCCGATCAATGTCAAGGTCTCAGTAAGAAACTAAATAAATTAAGTCGAGTTTGAGTATTATTATCTTAACTCCATAGAAATTTCGTGAGTTTAAAATTTATAAGTTCGATTCGAATTTAAAAAACTAAATTTAAATATTTTTAAATTTAACTAATTTTAAGCTTGAACTAAACATTAAATATATTAAAATCTTATATTGTATTTTTTAAAAAATAACATATAAATATTATAATTATTATTAATTTAAAAAAAATTTAAAATATATATCTTTAAAAAATTTAAGTAAGATATAAAATAAATTTCGATTCATTAAAAATTCAAATAAAATCTATTTAAATTAAAAATTAATCAAATCAAATTTAAATAACTTTCAATCAGTCTGACTTATTTAACTCTAGTGTCAAGCTCGAGGATCTATGAGATAAAACGACGTAGGTCCTACAATCCTACCATCACGATTTCCAAGGGATACAAGGAGTAGACCGACCACGGGCGTCGGCCTAAAAAATACGTGGCACTCGAAGCAATACATTCATTTTTTTTTCTTGAAAAACACTAGAAATAACTCACCGCACGCAATATGGAAATATTCGGGAAAAAATAATATTTAAAATGTAAAAATATTTTATTCAATTTTCAGTCAAATAATATTTTTTTTCTCTATATATGACATTTCCATATCACCGTTGAGTGTGTAAAGCACGGCATTCCCATTCGAAAGCTTCATTGTGTTTTTCTTTTGAAACAGTCGCTTATAATTGGATAAAAAGAAAGGCAGAAAAAGAGAGCTAAGAAAGAGCGATGTCGCAAAGTCGAGTGATGAGAGGTCGGAAACGACGGCGTTGCCGTTTCACCATCTCCAACCCTCCCGTTAACGCCTTAGCTATTCCCAGTAAAGCTTTGCTTCGCCATACTTTATATCTCTTTCTTTGATTTATTTGTTTCTTCTTGATTTATGACTTGGTGATTTGATTTTCTTTTTCAATTTTTGCAGTCATTGATGGATTGAAGGAGAAATTCGCTGAGGCGACGAGGAGAAACGATGTCAAAGCTATTGTCCCGGGTGAGTTTTGAGTTTTTGATCGAATCAGTGTTTTTAATTTTTTAAGATAAATTTGGATGTTTCATCTCCGAATTCAGGTTACTGATTGCTTCGATTTTGTTATTATTATTTTTAATTGGTGATGAAGGCAAGGGAGGAAGGTTTTCTGGTGGTTTGATATCAATGTTTTCCAGAAAGTTCATGGAACCGGTATGTGATTGTTAGTTAGTCGATTAATTAGACTGTGTGGCTGTGTGCAGTTCTTTTTGTGCGGTGAATTTTACTATTTAATTACTTAAATTTAGTGAGAAGGGGAAATTTACAAGCTCTTTTTATATTCGATCGGTTGTTAAACAGGTGATATCTCCATCATGCCTGATGTATCTGGAACTTGTCACTAATGCGGTTGAAGGTTCCTGATTCCTTTATTTATTTTAAGTTTTCTTTTTGGCTGTTATGCATGGCCATCTTATGCACTACTTTCATTTTCTCAGATTGCAAGAAGCCTGTTGTGGCAGCTGTTGAAGGATTGGCTCTTGGAGGTGGCTTAGAATTTGCACTGGTTTGTACTTTTCTCTCAATTTATATTTTACGTGATTAACTTCTTTTGCTAATAATTTTGTCTGCCATGATTGTAAATTTGCTCAGTTGTCTAATCTTTGTTATTCTTATGCAGGGTTGCCATGCGCGTATTGCTGCCCCTAGAGCTCAACTTGGCTTGCCAGAATTGTCACTTGGAGTGATTCCTGGGTTTGGAGGTATAGCCACCCCGCTAGTATATGTTGATAAAAACATGTGTAGATGGGCAAGTCTTTTTGTCTTTTGATGATAGCTGCTGGTTTGTGCTTTTCAATCATTGACTGGTTATGCTATGGCTCTTTTCAAAGGTACACAGCGTCTCCCAAGGCTTGTGGGGCTTTCGAAGGCTATTGAAATGATGCTGGTAATACTCTATGATTTTGATGCTTTTAGAACTTTTTAACCTGTTATCCTAATTCTCATGGTTTGTAATTTATTCGGCATTATCATTTTACTTATTGAAAATGCGTCATTAAATTTTCATTCCTTCGTTGTAAACTAGTTGCTGGATGGTTCAAGTGGATTTAGAAAAGTTAAGTTTTCTGATGAAAATTAAGATATAATTGGATTAAATTGCTTTAAATGTTCTATACTATGATTGGATTAAACAGTGAAACTACCTCTCTTATTTGTCATAAGACCCTAAGCTGATGCTGTATTTTTCATCCTCTTAACTTTAAAATGCTTTTCATTGTTAATGGCCACGAAGTCCACTTTTTCACTTGGTAAATCTAATTCATGCAAGAATAATTCTTTGCAGTCATCCAAGCCAATCATGTCTGAAGAAGGGAAGAAGCTAGGTCTTATTGATGCACTTGTCCCTTCTGAAGATTGCTGAAAGTTTCTCGTGCATGGGCTTTAGACATTGCAGAGAGACGTAAACCATGGTTGCGTTCCCTTCACAGAACAGACAAGATTGGATCACTCTCTGAAGCACGGGAGGTGTTAAAAATTGCAAGACAACAAGCCAAAAAGACTGCCCCAAATTTGCCTCAGCATCAGATATGTCTAGATGTAATTGAGGAGGGTATTATCCATGGGGGATATAGTGGAGTTCTAAAGGTAGTCTTTGGTTTTGAGGCCTATTGCATATTGTTTCCTTGCTGAAGAAATTGCTTCTGATGTTTTGTTGTTTATGTATAGGAGTGTTTGCTGTTTTATTCCTTCTTTTGTAACGGATCATTTATGAGTGTCATAAACTTTTGGGGCATGCAATGATGGATTTTATAGGATCCTTTCCCTTTAGTCTTATCTGTGATAATGTTTAGTTGTATAAGAATCTCCACTCAGTTGTACTTGAACATTTGGATAGCTTTCTATCCATATTTTTTGTATCGGAATTATCTATGCAGGAGGCCAAAGTTTTTAAGGAGATAGTCCTTTCAGCCACAGCAAGAGGTCTTGTTCATGTGTTCCTTTCTCAGCGGGCTTCATCAAAGGTAATCTCTAATGGTTGGAACACTTTGCACCTTTTTCTCATTTAATTCCTCTAGCAGAAATTTGGCATTTGGTAGCACTCTCCATGTGAAAGTAGTTGGCTGTCTACAAGCAGTGGAAGAATTCAAACTTTAAAGTTGATAGTGAAGTCCCACAACCAATCGGGATCTTTGTGGTGTTTTTTCTTGAAATTTTACTTTTGCAGGTGCCAAATGTTACTGATGTTGGCCTCAAGCCAAGGCATGTAAAGAAAGCTGCTATTATTGGAGGAGGCTTAATGGGCTCTGGAATAGCTACAGCTCTTATTATGAACAATATATTCGTTATTCTCAAGGAAGTTAACTCTGAATATCTCCAGAAGGGAATTAAAACAGTAGAAGGTGGTTATTCATAATTATTGCTCTTTTAATAGCCAATAAACTGATGGACTTTTTTCTTTGGAAAGGATTTAAATTCTTTTAATTCTTATTTTAAAAGGTAATCTTAATGAATGTGTCAAGATCTAGTTGCATGTGGAACTATTTACATGTTATAGAAATTTAATAGTTAATACTTTCTTATCTTTGTCTTCCTTTTTTCTTTTTGCAGCAAACGTTAGAGGTTTAGCAGCTAGAGGAAACTGACAAAGGATAGGGCAGAAAAAGCTATCTCAATGCTTAAAGGAGTTTTGGATTATGCTGAATTTAAAGATGTAGACCTGGTCATAGAGGTGAGCCATGGTATTTATAACATTTTGGAACTGTCGATAGCTATCATCTGGCCATACATAAAATATTGTAATATATACACATAATTTATCTATCCCTAGTCTCTATGATCTAACTTGCGTTTTTTCTGATCATATTGGAGGATTGCAATGAAATATCTCTAATTTAATTTTATTTGCAGGCTGTTATTGAAAATGTCTCTCTAAAGCAAAAATATTCAGTGAGATAGAGAAGGCCTGCCCTCCTCACTGCATTTTGGCAACAAACACATCCACTATTGACCTCAATTTAATTGGAGAAAAAATAAATCAGAAGATCGTGTCATAGGAGCTCACTTTTTCAGGTTATCAATTTATTTTTCCGTGTTTGCTGCTTGTTATTGCCTTTCTAATTCTCTATCATATGCTTCTTCATATATGGAGGAATCTAACATCTATCCTCCATGACTTTTTGAATGGCATTTTTTTATAAGAAATAGGCCTCGTTAAAAACCCCCTTCTTAACCGTTAAGCTACAAAGTATCTTAACGGGCATTGGAAGGAGGAAAAGAGTGCCCAAAATTTATTAATACACAAAGAGTACAACCTGGTTAAAAAAACCCCAGATTACAACCTTAGTCTTAAACACACCTATCCCCTGAAAGGATAATAACACTCCCAACAAAAACCAGAACTCAAAACACAGCAAACATTACCCAATTCCCGCCTTAGCTAAACTATCAGCTTCCCAATTATTACTTCTCTTCACAAACCTTAGTAACACATTGGAAACCAACAGTCTTAGCTAATTCTGTAACCAGAATGCTAAACACAGCAGGATTACACTCTGGATTTTTAATCCAATTTACAGCAACCAAAGAATCACTCTCCAAGATGAGACACCCCTTGTCTTTCCACTTCGAATCAAAGAACATTTTCAGTCCTGCTTGAATAGCTTTACATTTTGATTGGCATTACATTTTGGTACTTTTGGTGCTATGGCCCTTTTTCTTGCATCTTGTGGCCCGCCCTCATGGATATTGAGAGGCTAAGATTTCTGCTGGAGTGAATTATGTTAGATAGCCTGGCAATATAACCTTTATAAGTTATGTGCACGAAAGAATATTTTCCATGATTTAAATCTCTCTTCGGTCTCAAATATCTTAGCATTCTTTACCTTAACTCCAGTAGGAGTAATCAGTAGTTATACTTCAGTTACACTTAAAAGAATCATCCAAGTCGAATAAATCCTTCTGGGATGTTGTAACTGATGATGAACAGAAGGTCCTTTGGACTCTGCCCCCCTTAAAGTCTCGGGCTATTGCGACCTTAGCTCGGCGTTCATCTTTCCGGTCTAACTCAATGACGAGCTCTTTAGATGTTCAGTCTGTTCTGACGGATATAACGTTGCACGTCATCATTATGGGAACCTCATCATCTGGTATCCTCGGGTCCTGACGGATATCCGTCTGCAGGCTTAGAGCTTTGCCACCAATGAATTCTTTTTACTGCATTTAACTTTTGTGTTCAGGATGGCACTAGACTGGTTCTTAGGGACCCCAATATAAAGCATGTTGTGTGTTTCTTACGCATACAGTCTTCAGGGGTCGATGCAACTTTTAATTGTTGCTGACAATAATGATTTTGGTACCATGAATCCTTTTCTTCAGAAGCTTTGTTTTCTTCCTTTCCTAATGTGTTTTTCCTCTCCTCTTGATACCATGGAAAATTTGCAAGAATTCATCGCTTGGATAAATGATGATAGTTCAAGATGTATGATTTTTTTTGCAGAGCTGAAATAAAATGAATATTTAAGGAAGTGATGATACTGAACAGAACATGCTAGCTACATAAAATGAGTTGGTTCCATAACTGCAAATAGTTCATTTCTTGACTGAACTTGTAGGTTTTTGACATAATTGCACTACAGTTTGTACTATGTACGCACATGTTAGTATATTATAGATATATTATCTGATATTGATCCTAAATGAACTGACTTTTTTCTATGCTTGTCTGTCTGTCTTAAATAGTCCGGCCCATCTGATGCCTCTTTTGGAGATTGTGCGAACACAAAAAACTTCCCCACAAACAATTCTTGATCTTGTGACAGTTGGAAAAGTAATAAAGAAAGTTCCTGTTGTGGTTGGTAATTGCACTGGCTTTGCAGTTAATCGGACATTCTTCCCCTATGCACAAGGTGCACATTTATTGGTCAATTTAGGTGTCGATGCATTCAGAATTGACCGGGTGATCAGCAGTTTTGGCCTTCCTGTGGGTCCTTTCCAGTAATCTTTCCTTAACCCTTGGCATTTGATAGTTCATGATTTGAGTTCATATGTTTCCAACTTTGTTGATATCTTTAACAGTGAGTAAATCAATGAAGTGATTTGTCATGGAACTGTCATTTTTCTTGATTGTAGCTTTTGACTTGGTAATGATTTAATTGTAATAAATGCTTCTGAAATTGAAAAGGTAAGTGTCGTCCTTCCATAACTGGAAAACCTAAGAAGAAAAATAGTTGCCACATATTGGTGCATCTGCTTCTGCACCTGCGGCAAACACACAACTAATGCTTACATATTACTAGCTTGATGCCATTAATAGCTTAGTAGAACTAGGGTTACCGATCAGTTGAGCTTAGAGTTCTAGTAATGATCAGTTTTCACTTTTCAGTTCATCTGACTGGCGATTTGTTCGAAGCAAAGCATACCAACATATATGCCCTTGGTATATTCTGGGTACATGGTGATAACTGATAAGTTATGCTTGATTTGCAATACTGTAGGCTTCAAGATTTAGCTGGCTATGGAGTGGCCATGGCGGTTGGGAAAGAATACCAAAAGGCATTCTCAGATCGAGTATTCAAATCTCCATTGGTTGAACTTTTAGTTAAAAATGGACGAAATGGTAAATGAATACCATGTTTCTGTTCCTGTGGCGTTCTTTTCCCCCTTATAATAGTGTTGTCAATATATGCTTCTTTGTTATTGGGACATTTCATGAAGTTTGGTATTTCAGGGAAAAAACAATGGGAAGGGATTCTATTTATGAGAAGGGAAGCAAACCAAAGCCTGATCCTTCTGTGTTGCCTATTATTGAGGAGTCTAGACGGCTTACAAATATTATGACCGCTGGAAAGGTAAGTACTCTTGCCTCCAAAGTATCTCTATAATCTATAGGAATTGAATTTTGTCCATTGAGGGCGAACTTTAATATTGTCACTCCAATGACATGGTAACTTTGAACACTATAATTACACGACTTAAGAAAATAACTAAAAATGGCACAGATCACAATACAACACAGGCAAAACATGAACATTAACAAAAACACAAACATGTCAAAATCTATATACAGGAATTATTAGCATACCGAAGGTCACAAGAACATAATTCTTTAAACTAGACTATGATACTTGAAATTGTACAAGTATGATATGGGTACATAACTTGCTTCTATGGAAGTAATTTATTGTTGTTGCGATTGTTTGACAGCCTTTATTGGTTACTGATAAAGAAATTCTGGAGAGGGTGCTCTTCCCGGTAGTCAATGAGGCATGCGGGTTCTTGATGAAGGGATTGTGGTTCGAGCATCTGACCTTGATATTGCATCTGTCCTCGGAATGAGCTTCCCATCTTATCGGTAAGTCTTTCATCATTGACTGCAGTTTCTCTTTTGAACTTGTTGAGCGGGCGGAGTGAAGAAAATTCTGGGACAGTGTCCTACTTCTTCAGTATAACTAAGTAGAAAATCTTGTAATGTCATTGTGAAATTTATCCTCAATCTAGTAAATGATTTTTTATATTGCTTAGGCCTTTTGAAAGCATTAGATATTTTCCAAAGCAAGAAAAGATAGATCCTTACAAATTGGGATGGATCTCATAATCATGCGTATCTTTTCAGACAGATATTTATGATAACGTTGCATTAAGTCATTATTTACGGGTATAATTCGCCCACATCTGATCATATTTTATTTTGGGCAGTGGTGGCATAGTATTTTGGGCAGATATGGTAGGGGCGAACCATGTGTATACAAGTCTGAAGAAATGGAGAAATGTATGGCGGCTTCTACAAACCATCGAAGTTCTTGGAAGAAAGAGCCATTAAGGGATCCCATTGGTAAGACCCTTTTCCCTTTTTTCTTTTCTATAATGTGAGTTTTAGGATGTTATTTACCTCTTTTCTATTCGTAGAGTGCTCCGGCCACGTCGGTTGCAACATCAAAGTCAAGGCTGTAAAGGCCAGAAATATACAACCCAGTGTGGATCTGTTATCAAAGCAACAAGAATTTGGTTCATATAAAAATGAGTGCCGCTCTTTTATTTTCCTGGGATGGTTGAAAGCGATAAGAATTATGTTTTATAGATTTGGATCGTAATGTAACTTTATTTTCTTACTTTTGTTTTTAGGCCTATATTTAAGGTTTGGGATTATCTCTCAGTATATTATGTTGAGGTATAGTTCTGGAAGGTACGAACTTGGACAGGGGCCCTAGTCACACAAATATTAATTATATAAACTAGTCTTTTATTCGATATACATATTTAAGTAAAATTCAAATCAAACTAAAATATATAGATTAATTATCATTTAATGTTTTTTTATAGAACTTGTTTGTGTTCAAATTTCAATTTATGATTTTATTTAATTTTTAATTGAATTATCTAATTCTATTTTGATCAAATTTAAATCACATATTATCTATCATCACTATTTAATTTTATGTAAATCTTATTTCTTAAATTTATTATCATTTAATTTTATATTTTATATAGATTTCTTTCTATTAGTTTTTATCTCAAGAATTCTTTCTAAAAATATATAAATATATTTTTTTTGAATGATTTTTTTATTTTATATAATTTATAAAATTATAAGAAACATATTTATATATCTTATATGATTAGAAAATATATAAATTATAATTAATTAGTAATTATAATATAATAAAAATCAGACTCGATTCAAAAAATTTTAAAGAAGTTTTAAATGAAAACAGAATTCATCAATCGATTAACTTAAATTTTTCTGTAGTTTGATTTAATTGAATATTCATCCATACTTTCCTAGTATTCGTGATTTCACTCTTATAGAGCGAGGCATGAGACGAATGGTTGGGGTGGAGGTTTGGAAATAATAAGACCGGATTAGGGTCCTTTTAGAAATATTATATCATACGATCCTCTTTCAAATTCCAAGCGACATTTCCTCTCAAATGGATTCTATCTCATGATGCATATTCACCCTGATTCGGCTTATAAAATAGCTTATGGAATTGCATTTCCATACCTATTTCCTTTAATAGAATATATGGCTGAATGGAAAAGCTTTATAATATATACATGATGATTGCTTTTGGTGGACAGGATTAGACCTCATCTCAAAATAATAAAAATGATAGGAAAGTCGACACAAAAACATCAATTTACACCGCACTGAAGTTTTGCAGTAGCAACTCTTTTCCCCTCCCAGGGGCAATAGAGAATGGATTCTCAAATAAAATAATGACCAGAGCACAGAGCATCAAGTCCTAGTTCCCCCAAAGTTTTACAACAAGAAAACTAACCTCAACCACATCTTTAATCCCCAATTTATTTGAAACCAGCTGCTGCAACAAGGGAAATTTTATGTCCAAGCAAGCCGATATTAAAGATTCCACCATTGCTTAAAATGGATCTCCCATTCGGTCTCGCCCCACTCCTCGTACATCCTTTCTTCCTCGTTCCAGGTACATATCGCGACGGTGTTCTTTTGGTGGAGGGGCAACTCTGATTGGTGACCTACTCCTCTCTCTCACATCACGTGGTCTGTCACGAGGAGGAAGCTGTGGTGGAGGAAATGGAGGTGGTGATGGTGGTCGCCTCTCATACCCTTTCCTTGAATTGAACAAGTATCCTTCCTTGGTCTCTATGCCCCCAATCCATTGGCATTGGCCTATCGAATCTACTTCTCCCTGTAGTCATTGTCTAGGTAATCCAGTCGATCCCGGTGCATGCTATGATAAAAAACCTACCTTCATGCCTATGTGGTGGTGGACCGGCAGCTCTAAAGTCTCGAGGACCATGCCCAACCATGAGGGGGGACCTAAAGCCACCATTTATATTCCTGCGAGGTGGTGAAGATCAATAGGAAAGAACCTGGGAGGAGCATGTGAAGGCGGGGACCCGGGTAGCCTCCACGGGGACTCCCCACAGGTGCATAGCGAGAACCTTGCAATTGTTGCAGAACTCTCTCCTTGCAAAGTTTAAGTTTGCACATCTGCAACAAGATTGGTAAGAGAAAATAAACTGCAACATGCAGGACGAAACTTTAAAAAGTATTTCAACAATAAACTAAAATTATACAATCTAGAATGGTTTTGAATTTAGGACAAGAAACAGAAAGTGTGTGAACCAATTAAAGAAAACAGGGAAACAAGGCATCGACCAAATGCAAAGCAAGAAACGTAAAAGTAGTATAAAGAGGGAAATTCGAAACAAAATTCATGGTATGGAGGTTATATATACTTACAAAGGATCTGGACATATCCAATCTCCTTCCCTAGGTCGCACATTAGAATTATTTCTAGTCCTTCACCACCGATAGGTCCAGGACCATATCCAGTCCCACATCTCTGCTGCTACGCTGCCTGGCACCACCTGGTCCCGAATATAAGGAGGTGAAGAGCCTCGATATCTGCCAGGATCCCTACCATTACCAAAATCACGGCTTCTTGATGAACCACCTGAGCGATCAAAATTGGAACCATATTGGTGATCTGCATCCCTACGACGTATTGGAGAACTTGAACCTGCACGAATTCTATATCCTGGAAAAGAGAAGGCCAACAGCTCCTATAGATAAGCGAATCTAATTTGAATACAAATTTTATGGAAAACAACGTGCTTATCTGCAGAGATTTATGGGCAATCAATTGTTCCAATGACCAATAATAGTTCGCAAGGATTGGTACCACTGTTCAAGATCTCCTCATCATGGTTATGGAATGATAAATCCAGAACAGAAGGGAATACTTGTTTCAAAAAGTTATTTGCCTTTGTACTTTCAAACACAGCATTTACCAGTATATCAAAACCAATTTAGCAGCTCAATCATCAGGAAGAAAAAAGGTCGCTTTCCTAGATTCAAGCACCAAAAGCCTATCTTGTAAAACTTACATGCTTAACATTATATTTTCAACCTAATTCTGAAGTATGAAGCCAAGATCGTAAATCTGGAGCAACCTCATTTGATACAGCATAGGAAAGGAGGCAAAGGAGAGCATTCACGCTGCAGCCCACAGAAAATGAATGGCCATACACATAAGACATGATAGTCCAACAAAAAAATTATTAACCACCATAATTTACACCTAAAACCTTCATACAAATTGCCCTAATAAAGAGTAGTAGTCCGAGCAACAATGCAGAACTAAAGGATCAAAACCACCAAAGTGATCCACACATGAGGAAATCCTAATTAAACCATAAGCCAATAGGCACCAAATTTTCTGAAAGGCCGATCTCAGAACACTGTTTGAAAAGGTTCTACCACCTGAACATGAGTTCACTTCCCTATACCTATACATAACTTGATGGATAGAAAGTACATGCCATCAGGTCTTCTTCCATCCCCAAGGAGCAACACATAAGTCACTGACCACTTATGGGTGCTAAATGCTTAAATATCCAATAACTTTGTCCATCAGCTCAACTACCCAATTAGACACAAAATAATACAGAAACACACAAGAAACCTCATGAAGATAGAATAAACATATGAAGGATATTCCACAATACCCCATTCATTATCAAAAAATACTAGTAACCCCAAAATGTACAAGTTGAAAACAATAAAGGTTAAACCTAATTATCCTCCCAGAGGAAAAACTAAAATAAAAAACAAGCCAAAAGCAAGTAGATTCCACCCCAGAAGTTTATTATAAATTACCAGATACCCGTAATCGTTTTGAGCACTTCCATAATAAACAAAACCAACAAAAGTCCAGGATAGATAGAGCTCCACTCCACAACAAAATTAGTTATCATGGCCCAGATTCCACCCCAAAGGATTATGATAAGTTACCAGATACACCAAACCGTCCTCCATTAACATATCCTGATGCCATCAAACACGCTAGTTTTTCCAGCCAAGAGATCAACCTACCACTGAGCAGAGCCAAAGCTAGCCATATAAACCACTTGAGGCTGTCAGTAGTCCGATTTTACGTATGATCTTTTGCTATATCTTGAAAACTTGACCCCAAACCTCTTAAACTGGAAATGAAATTAGTATTTCAAATTAGAAATGAAATTCTATCAAACCCAGCTCCATGGTAACTATCTTCAAATGCTTGCCGAACTGACAAGTGACAATAGCTTCAAACTGAGATGCAATGTCTTTAGTGCAGCAACACAATTCTATTCATCATGCCCAACATATAGAGATGCATTTGGCACAAAACCCCTTTTCAATTCAAAAAACCAACATGTCTTCATAAAACCCAAGTTCTTGCAGGCAACACTCACAGCTGAACACACAACAGCAAATTCATTTGCAACTCGATGCTCCATAAGGTATTAGATCCACATGATCAACATGCAATATAAGGCAAAAAAAAAACAACAGGTACAATCCCATGTAGTGTAACTATTACATGGACATTGAAAAAAATCACTTAACTGTAATAGTCACCAAATAATGTTTACAAATCTAATTCAGCAAGACCATAAACAATTGAACATTTAAAAATGGCTACAAGAACCGGATGCAAATACATCTATAGAACATGGTACTGGAAACTAATAGATGTAAAAGTGGAGTTTACATGACATTGCAATACAAACATAAAAAAATCCCCTTACACAGAGATATATTAATAGAAATTACAAATACACTGCAATTAGGCTATTTTTCTCACAGCTTATTTCCCCTGTCAAGAACATGAATCATTTTCTTAGGCGCCTCCAAATTCATTTAGTAGCCTATTAACTCCTCAATGGCACAATTCTCAAAATAAATCTAAAGAAATGCAAATTGGCATTCAGTTTAAATCGTTAGAGCTCACCAATTCTTATGAAGCTCCAGCATAATCGCAAAGTACATTGCGAATTTCATCCCTGGTTTCATTTCCTACTACGTTCTAGGGTTTCAACTTTCAAATCACGATTCATTTTAATTTCAATTAAAACAAAGTGATTTGAACTTGACGTTATATGTATATTATTAAAAAATGAAAAAATCAAACAAAAATAATAATTGATTAAACTGAAAAGGAAAAAATTAAAAAAAAGTAAAACGATTCCACGAAAAAAACACTAAACCAGGTTCATCTTTGTATCGATCAGCGCGAGAATACGGATGTGGCTCACGCCGGACCTCTCCAGGTTCATAATCACCACCACCACCACCACCACGGCCTCGTCCTCCGCCTGCACCACCATCAGCTCCGTCGCTTGCCAAAGGCCCTACAACAAGGCTACTTATGAGTGGCTGGTGATACGATGTCGTTGGTCCCTATCTCTAGATCCCATTTCTCTCTCGCTCTGTTCCCTTCTCGAACAGCCGACGGCTAAAACTACGGAAAACTCTAAAGTGGGGATGAAGTATATAACCCTAGCGCCACGTATCTGATTTTTCTGCCATGGAATTTGCGTGAGAGGCGAGAGATTTTACTAAATTTTGCAAACCCTCGTTTTTTCCCCCTAATTTGAAATAGCATCCCGATACTTTTTAAATTTTCAATTTCTCCCCTCGAATTTTCCTTTACTTATAGATAACCCATGTTAGTCTCTATCTCTACTTTTTCAATTTTTTATTGTAAAACCCGTGACTAAAGTTGACATCACAGTTTAACCCTATACACCGTGTGCCGTGTGGTACACAGGGTTAGAAGTTGGACAAAAAACCTTGCCTTGTGGTGGCAAAGAGGGTTTTTTGAAAGGTGACTTGAGCATTCTCTACTTATGTAATGATATATTTAATTCTGTATGATGGAATTATGAATGACATTATCTCCTGTATTAGAACATATTGGTGATCTGAGAGGGAATGGGCTTTGGTTGTTTGGTCCAAGCTTCACTGCTCAAAGAGAGAGAGTGGTCTCGATTTTAGGGACCTAAAACTGTTTAATTTGGCCCTTGTTGAGAAACAAGTCTGGAGATTCATTCACAAAAAGAACACTTTGTGTTTCAAAGTCTTAGCTACCATGTATTTTTCTCATGAGGATATTCTTGACGCTAAGCTCGAAGACAAAGCTTTCTTTGTTTGGAATCGTATTTTTAAAGCAAAGAAGTTCTAAAGAAAGGATTCTTTTGGAGAACTGGCCAAAAGAAAACAAAATTAGAATGCACTTGGATCTTGGGGTGGTATTTTGAGAATTGAGCTGAATGGTCTTTACATGAACAACCTTAGAAACCCCATTCTTTGTGGGGTTTTCGCTCCGCTGCCACTGGCTTGCTAAGGGAAACATGTATGAAGGGATGTCTCTAGAATTTGGACTGTTATTGCTAGGCCCCAATTCTTCCAAAAATCAGGATTTTCGGATGAAGATTACAATAATGCTATTCTTATAGGTTGAAGCTGAACAATGTCGGTCTTGAATAGTTTGTTCAAGCTTTACAATGTTGAAGTTAAGACTGACTCCGCCCTTCGAGATTACCTCCAGCAAGGAGGTTCTTCTCTTCTTTGATTGGGATAAAATTTTTGGCTCAACGAGAATCTCCTACAAAGAGTAGCTTGAAGCTTGGTTGATTTGTTGGACATGAGACGTTGCCTGCATTCTTGCATTGTTGTGGCCATATGGATTCGTAGGAATAAATGGTTGCATGAACAGTCTTGCTTAACGCCAAAATTTGTATGATACACCCTTCTGCTATTGTCTGGCCTAAAATTTGTTGTTTCTCGTGCTATTCCTTGTGCTGAATCTAAGAGAGAGTTTGGCAGAAACCACCCCAAGCCTTATGAAGTTAAATAGATGAGCTTGGAGCTAATTCTTGTGAAGTCGCCATTGAGGTCTTGGCCAGGATCATCACGGTCTTGTCATTGGTGGCCATGCTCGTTGTTTGCTTGACCTTCACTATGCTGACCTCGTGGAAGCCAGAGCTTTTCTGGAAGGTATGGTCTATCATCGAAGGTAATGCGCTTTCTGTTGTCTACAAGCTGTAAATCTTGGACTAGACCTCTCTACTACCTACTTTCACCTCTTGGAAGCCCGTAGAGTTCTTGCTAATCACCCCAATTCAGATTTGTGTTTACCCGTAGATCCCCAAACACTGTTGCTCTCTCTTTAGCCCAATGGCATTTTCTTATTCTTCGCCTATTTAGTTTATTTCGGATTTTTCAAGTTGTATCTCGGATGTTGACATTTTGGATACTTTCATAGTTTAACCGAATTTATAAAAAATAAAATAACTAAAATACGGATCATAATATATTTTAAGAGTATTTTATTCTTTTCATTTTTATAATATTTAAATAAAAATAAAAATCATGCTTATAATTAAAATACGAGACTAAAAAAACAAAATCTTTTTCCATTCATTTATAATATATTGAACATTTCTGTAAATATATGTTTTTATTAAATATTTCAGTAAGCACACCGTGTGCAACAAAATCTATTATTATAAACACCTTCATTGAGCTGTGCCACATTAGATCAAATGCTAACTCGAATGAAAATGACTAAAAACTTTTAAATGGTAAATAATAGTGTTATATAATGGTTTATCTTTTATAATTTCATATAATTTTTAAATAAAAAATTAAAACTATTATGTATAGATCAAACATGTGAATGATTTAGATATAAATTTATATCACTTCTAATAAGTTGTTGAATTAAATTTATAAATATTTAAGCTGAAAATTTTTGTTTATTCACATATGAGTGACAAAGCTTAATTACATAATGTCTGTTTCATCATGCAGGTTATATAATGCCAAAAGGTATATGAATAATTAATCTGTTAAAACTATGGTTAGTAATTAAACAAGTAAGGACAAGATTTAAAAAAAAATATTAATTTCCATATAATATAATCAATAAATAATATTTGAAATACATTTATACAAAAATGAGTTCCTTAATAGTTAGAAAAAACCCAAAATAAATAAATAAATACATAATTACAAACTAAAATATGAATGGTATTACACATTCCTTCTAAAGTGATCGAATTTTGTATTCTGATATGAGGGTTGGAATTCTCTTAGATAAAGTATGAAATAACTAAAAAACTTAAAACCTCACAAAACTATTGTTTGCACATCTATACCTACACCATCTTTCATGAAAATGTAAAACTTTTCTCGAAACTTAGAAGATGAGGATTATATCTTACCTCCATCCACCCACAATCAAAACAAAGTTAGTTCTATTAATCTTTATAGTCATAAATCTTTATGGTTGAGATTATTTAGAACATATACTACTTTGTAATCACCTTAGCTTAATAATAATAAAAAATATTATTTTAAGTTCTAATAAACACAATTCTCTTTAATCAGACCCAAATGTTATGAGAGAAAATGAAGGAAAACTTATCTGGTAAAAAAATTGAAAGTTTTTCTCTCTCTCTACAACTTAGTCCTTAATTTTGAATATAAAACTTTTTTTAATAAATTCATTAAAGTTTTTTTTTCTAAAACCTTATTTAATTAAAGTAAACCAAATATAGGTTCCAAAATTCCAAAATCAAAAATTTAACTTTAATTTCATAAATAAATATATTTTATTTAATTTTAAAGAAATTTATTAAGATTCATTTGACTAAAAATATTCAAAAAAAATATAAAATCCAAATTGAACACATGTACAAAACCGGTTTAACTAACCAATATTTTAGGATTTAAAATTATGAATACGCTAATTCGATATCAGTTTTTTTCTACACATGTTCTTTAGAATGAGAAAAGTAGGGCTTTGTTTAAGCCAACGAGGGATATTACTATTAAGCAAGGTGACATGCTATAGTAAATCAAATTTATGTGTTTAGTTGAAAAGAAATGGGAGGAATTTATCAGGTTGGGTTACGAAGTCGTTATCTTCGACAAGAAGAATTTCTCTTATTAAAGGAATTTTGCAAGCGATGTCTCTTATGCTATGCAGACAACCTCGCTCCCTAAAGTTGTAAGGCTGTAGAGAAATTGATTCGTAACTTCGTATGGGTCCAGCTAGTATGAAGCATGGAGTTAGTCTAGTTAATTCGGAAAGTTTGTAGAGGTCAATGGAGGAGGGAGGGTTAGGCATTAAAAGTTTAAGTCAACATAATAAGACTTTCCTCATGAAAGTCGGATTCCAATTGTTGACGAGGACAAGAAGTGCGTACGAGTCTTAAAATCTAAAGTATAAATGGAGTGGAGTGGTGCAACGTTGCAAATTTAATCACTCTCGCCTATGGAAGGGCTTAGTCACGTTGGGGGGAGGTGTGTAACGAAGTTATTTGGAATACCTTAAATAGCTATATGACAGACTTTTGGTTTGATAGTGAAAGGTCATTGTTGGTAAGTTTGAGTTCTACTATGTCGTTTCCAATGCCAATGGCCTAAATGGTAACATAAGTGGGACTATTGCACTAGGTTGGCGATGGAATGAAGAGCGTAGCTTTCCTACGAAATCAACTTATTAGGTTTTTTGCCAGTAAATGGGCAATACGATGGACGTGTGCTGGAAATTCATTTGGAAGGTGGACGTACATTCAACCGAATCGAATTTATGGTTGGTGACCCATGGAAGGCTATTGACAAATGTGGAACGAGTTCGAAGGCATATGACGAATAAGTTCGTGTTAAATTTGTAAAAAAGGAGTTGAAGATGTGGGACTGTGTTGAGTTTATGCAATGCCACTAGAACAATCCGGGGAAGGTTGATTAAGCTGATAATTGCAAGAATTTATCTAATTGTCTATGAAGGATTAGGAGATCAAAGAGCCTTTGCAATTGTTGGTAACGATTGAGATATTGGTTTCAATTATTTGCTGGAAATTGTGGTTAAGGGAAATAAGATAATTTTTGAAGAGATTTAGGGTGAAAGAAGAGACTAAGGGGAAGTCAACTAGAGTAAGGGTAGCTTTAGCCTACCGTCGACAACAATGGTGCAGATGTAAGCTTTAGATAGCGTATAGTTGTGGATCAGTGTTCTGCTTCATATAATAAATTAATTAAATTTTCACTGCATCACACATCTGATTGGTCAAACTTTTCTTTATTTATTTTTATATATTTCTTATATTATGAATCTAGACTCACTAGTTGCACTTTCCTTTCTTTCCGTAAAATCCCTCTTTCCATTTTCTTCTAACTAAAATTAAAACTAAATTTATAATTAAAAAAATACTTTAGAATGTTGATACAAAATATTATTTTGCTAAAAGGAAAATACCATGAAGACTGGAATGAACTAAACAAATCATGATGAGATTAGAAAAAAATGTTATTTTAATTGAGTTTCTACAATTTTTTATATAAAAAAATTATACCAACTATTTTTTATGAAAAATATTTTAAAATTCATGTAATTATATTATTTTTTGAATATTTTAAAATTCATGTAATTATATTATTATTTTTGAATATTTTACTATTCATGTAATTGTATTATTATTTTTAAATAGAATGTAATTATATTATTATATACGCTACCAAAAGTACCATTAAAGATTTCTCAACTCCGTTTGCGTAAGTTAAAAGAAACTTCTATACTGAATAATAATATCTTTTACCCGTTTAATATTTACATTTTTTTCCAAACAGTGCATATTATTGCATCACATTTAATTACATAATCTTTTTTCTCACAATGCCAATCATTGCATAACCTATGATATTCTCATCTTTACACACAGAGAAGGAAATTAGAGCAAGGCATCTGTTCTTATTAATAACCATGAAGTGCTTACTTAAAACCATCCCATACTATAAAAAGGTAGCTATGGCTACCAAGGCCAGGAAAACAGACATATTTGCGCACAAAGCAAATCTAAAGTGCTTTAAGGATGTCATCAGCACTGGACAGTAAATTCCCCAGCTTCGATATTTGCAGCCTTCACCTTGAGGTCCTCGACCAGAAGTGCAAACCTCCGAGAACGGGAGCCGAGCCCTTTCTCACTGAGGTCAAGCTCAAGACCAAGGGCATGGGTGTATGTTGCTGAACCATCAGCCAGAAACTTGACATCTTTGTTCTCAGGGTAGGTTTTGGCCCATGCCTTCATCACAAAGGGATCATTCACTGCAAATTCAATTCACTTAAGTCAGATTAACAGGATTTTAGAAATGCCAGAAGCTTATAAGTCTCCATACCTTTACAAACACAACAATATCGGACTTCCAATCATAATCTACTCAAATCAGGTAATCAACCATGTGAAACTTGACAGCTTACTTTTCTTCAGAATCTTGAGTTAATATATATTTTTCAAATAGAATATTTTCTAAAAATATATAATTCAAATGAAGGTAGGACATTATCAAGTTAAAGTATCTAAACAATCCATGCATCATAGAGTAAAAAATGCAACTTAATCTATGCAGGCCTGATATCAGTCTAGACAAGCAAACATTAATAACATTGCTATTGAAAAATTCCCTAAATACTGATGAAGACTTCTAAATCTAAGTATATGAATCAAAATACGAGATAATAAATTATTTTCCTGCTTTAGTTCTATCTGCAGATCTGCATTGCCAAACTTCAGAATTAGGTCGACATTTAATGATTTCCATTAACATCATCACTTGAACCAATATCAAACATCAATGGATTAAAGTACCCAGTTTATTTGTTCAGGGACAGACTAGATACTTTCACCAACATTAACACTATCAAATGTTGACCGACAATTAAGAAACAGCGAAATTAAAATCATTTAAATTGGAACTACAAAAGAAAATCAAAACAACATTTTTTTAATGTTATCATTCATTTCGTAGGGCAAAACAGATGAAAACCCGTTTTAAAACTAAGATTGTTGGTTTTTTTTCGTAAAAGTAATTACAATCAAAAGTAAATAATAAAAAATTGAATAAAAATAATGACTAAAATAAAAACTAAAAATTACCGCTGATGCAAGAATATCATCAACGCCCTTTGATTTAAGCTCCCCTGCTTTCTCGATGAACCCAGGCACATGCTTCAAGCTGCATCAGACACCAAATCAAAAACCTCAAAGAAAACGATTCATTTAGACAAAAAAAAACAGACACCGTTTGATCGGAAACGGACGGTTAAAGACATCAGATAGGAGAGAAGCGTTACCTGCAAGTAGGGGTAAAGGCACGGGAACGCCAAAAATGATGACCTTTTACCGGCAGCGAGGGAGTGTACGGACACCTGCTGGAGCTTATCCTCGGTGTCGAAGCAGGAGAGAGTACCGTCCGGAAGAACATCGCCAACAGCAATCGGAGCCATGTGATAGGTTAAATGAGGCAGTTGATCTGGGCTTTGATGATATTTGATTTGAACAGTGGAAGGGGAGGAGGGTATTTATTTATAGGGTTTCAACTTTCAATGCAACGCTTTTGGAAGGCTGTGCGGGTGAAATAAACAAATAAATGAACTTTTATTAGCTGAATTGGAATCACATTTGAGATCCGCAAAACAAAACAAAACATGTGGGTGATAAAATCTAGGATATTTATTACTTTAAGCTCATCTATTACTATTCGTAATTATATTTCATCCTTTATTTTTTTAAAGATAAATTATATATAATATTATGTTTTAATTATCAATTATTATATTGATATATTTCCTCTCTACATCTTAACCCATGGCATATTTTAACGAAAATACCATAACTACCAAGTAAAATCGAACTTCAACCTAAGTTAAATACTTGTTATAGAACCACCAAAATTTATAAAAGTTACATTGCCTCACCACTATAAAATAAATTGTTACCATTTAAAAGAAAGGAATTTGAACCTAAGATTATTACATAAGGATCCAAATCAATATTTCCAACATCATCACAAAACAATCATCCTCATAGGAATCAGAATCCATCAAGGATTTACTAAAGAAACACGTTATTAAGTATGATGTTAGACTCTAAAACTAAGATGAGACTCCAAAGATTCACAAAAAATTAGTGATATACTAAAAGAAGTCTCACAAACTCTTTGATTACGGACATAAAAAAAGAAAAATTCAATTCAGATAGAATCAATCTAAAATAAATACCCACAAGGATTAATTAAGAAAATGGAGTTTTATTTCATTGAATCCGAAAAAAAGTGATTGAATTCATGTGCATTGTTTTAAGTTTATACTGTGGGTGATCTCCCTCCGAGCTAGCTTATGAGAATGATTTTTTTTCTTGGATTGAGGCTCGTCGGATAGTGGTATGTTCTTACTCAGCCTAATCTATTCTTGAGTCGTTAGGATGATGAATGCTAAATGAGTGGATACACCTTTGGTTGTTCTGCCTAAACTAAGTCGAATTGATGGTACTAAGTTTGATGCAATGACTGAATATCTAAGCACTGTGGGAGCGCTTTGTAGTATGTCTGTCTTGTCACACCATACCAGATTTGTCGTTTGCTGTTAATAGGTCGTTCAATACATGCAAATGTCAACAGATGTTCACTGGTTGCAGAGAAGAGAATATTGCATTATTTGAAGGCAATGTTGATTATGGCCTTTGGTTTGCTTCTCCGTAATTTGATGTACTTCTTGTTGCTTTTTCTGATGTTGATGTTGATGATTGCCGATTTATCTCTGGTTACCATTTGTCTTTATCGACATCACTTGATGTCTTGAAACTCACGGAAGCAATGATCATTTTCCCGTTCTACCGCTAAAACCAGATAGAGGAGTGCTGCCGATGCTAGTTCTGAACTTGTTGGCTTCAAGCTATACTAAAAGATATGGGTGTGCAACCGTCTATAATTCTTACAATCTGGTGTGAAAACACAAGCACCATCACCATGACTGCTAATCACGTGCTAAATGGTAAGAAAAAAGCATGTTGATTTTTCTTTGCTAGAGCTTGACAATTGCACGTCAATAATGTTCCTGCTCAAAACAAATTGTTGATGTTCTTACTAAACCATAGAAACAATTGGGTTTTAAGCAAATGTAACAACTTTTACCCCTGATATAAAGATCAACTAAAACACTGCACGAATACATGAATCCATCGATACCAAATTATTCATATATCAAAATAGATATAAATATATAATCCTTTAAGCACAATTACTACACTCTAGAATACATGAATACTTGAACACATCTCGATTTTAAGATGACCGGGCAATTAGGTCTGATTCTTTTTATGGAAAAATTCATCATCTAAATGTAGGACATTACTATTTAACAGGGTACATGGTCACACAACATATCGGTAAGTGATATAACGACCGGCTGTCTCACTGGGTCGTATTATCTTCACGACTTGCCCACGCTTCAGCCCATAGTACCTTGCAATCGGATCGCTCACCTGGATACGAGGCAGCTGCATTCCATCCATTTCAAAAGGATAATAAGATCAGAAACTTTTGTTACTTGAACTCAAGAGTGTTGAGTATTGAATTTCAGGTATGTGTCAAACAGGAGTATGTTCAATAACTTTTTAAGTTTTTCCAATGTATTAGGAAGGTCCTTGGGGTTCATATCCCCCTATACCTAAGTGTGTCAGACGTGTCGGATACAACATTTCAAGAAAAATGAAGAATTGAAGCAATAGTTAGAAACTGATGGGATTTGCAAAGTGCATTGCAACACAACAAAACAAGATGAACCACCTTCGTATGAATTAGTCTAATGTTTATCCAATTAAATATTTGCTTCCATTAACCAATTAAATATTCTCTTCTTTTTTTCACTTAAATAAACGAATGAGGTAATGAATGGGGCAGAATGCTTTCAAAGCTAGACTTTATCCTAACGACATGCGGGCCTTGTGTTTTCAAAAAGAGCCCCCAATTGTACTGCATGTACTGACTGACTGCCGCAATGCCCGCTTACTTACTGTCACTTATCGAATTATTAGGAATGAGCAAGGAAGGTTTTTAAACCCACAGAGAAAAGGAATGGAAATTTTTAGGGACTACTGGACTAGCCCGATTCCCATTACTCAAGAGAGCAATTCCTTGCACATAATTAAGGGAGCCATTGGAAGTGATCCAAACACCAGAAATGGAGACTACCTAAGCTAATGAGGCAAGAAAACAGATTCTAGGCTAAATGTAGTATTGCATCTGGGGAACCATACCAGCAGCTAGGTCTGTGATATCAATTAACAAATACATGCACAAATATAATTTAACATGCAAAGGTATGCTCAAAACGCTTCCGACTTTGTCTAGGTCACTAGTTCAATTTTATAAACCTCCAGTCATTTACCACGGATAGCTTCAAAGGCAATCTATCTAAGCATTACATCAGTTTATTCAGGCACTTGGTTGCTAACCAATACACATGCAAACTAATCATGCATTCCTAGTAGGGCAGCTAATATTCCAAGTTGAAATTTCAATGATTCTACAAAACATGATTCATGTAGAGCTCTGGTTCTATACCTAATTAACAGATCAGCTTGCAGAATATATTAATGTGAAGTATAAACTGGTAAAACAGCTAATATTGTACAGGCAAAGAAAGATTTGAGCAAAGCACTTTACAATACTAGATGCTACATAGCAATTACAGTCACTAAATACTGACCTGTGTTTCCTTCACAGTATATCTATGAAGCAAAGTCTTTTTCTCCTCATTAGTAAGTACCTGATGCTCAGGCACAAGAGCATGTTCTTTCACATTGACCATGAGCTCTGCTTCCTGCACCAATAAAGCAAAAAATAAGAATCACGTGAAGAGAAATTAAAGAAGAAGAAGTAGTAGAAGAAGCTTGTACACTATTTGGAGAAGAAGATTCAATGAACATGAGTGTATACTATTACGCAATATATGTACACACACAGCTGAGGCACCCTAAGGCCTAAACATCAATTCTACAATATGCTTATATAACCTATATATATCTTAATATTATACACTGACGTTAGCCAAAATTTTCCAAGAAAAATGGTATACATCAGAATTCAGATGAACCGAGGCGTCCAGTCTACCCATTTGACAAACCCGTTGAGTAGTGTTTTTCTATCACATTAATAAGCTCAAGAATATACACTCATGACTTAACTAGATAAATCATTGGCCTCAAAGCTTTCCATATGGAAGAAGATATGCCAAGCATTAGATTGACAGAGATTGGAAGATGCAAGTCATCACTTAAGAATATAATAAATAAACATGGCAATGATTTAAGTAGAATCCAAAGATCATAAAAGCAATATATTTTACCTGGAAAACCTCCAAGTGGAACTTTGAAGAAATTTCATTAATACAAGTTCGAGCGAAGGGAGTCAAATTCTGTTGCACAACCAGTATGGCCCGGAATACATTCTCTGATTTCATGCGGTTGGTATACGTCTTCATTGTCTTGACACCAACCTTGGCCTCTTCAGGAAAGAAAACATAGATCTTGCACGCACAAATTATATAACTTCTAAATTAATAAGATAAAAAAAGATGAATGTATATCAAAATCCAAGTTTTAAACATTCAGCACGCCATATTTTTGACATATAGAACTTACACTCCAGAAGTATATCACTCGAAAATTAATTACACAATAAACATAGATGAATTTAAATCAAAATCCAATAGCAAATATGAGATTTTAATCATTCATGACGCCATATTTCAATACATAGATGACAACCAAAGATGAAAGTAAATCGAAATCCAAGAGCAACAACAAGTTTTTCAAATACTCAACGTGCCAGATTACCATACATTCAAAAGTAATTTAGAAATCGATTGAAACCCACTTGTTAAAACGAACTGAAAGTTGGGAAATAATTAGCGGCTACCTGATCAGAGTTATCATTACGTTTTGCTTTATTGATAACAAGATCTTCCCTTTTCATGTTTTCGCCAAATTTGGAAATAAACTGCTGTTTCGACAGATTAATCTCAAAATCTCCGACGAAATAGCCCCTGTCTTTCAACATCTGCATGACCGTCTTTCGGATTCGTAACAACCTCTTGATTTCATCCTCTGACAATACCATCTTCCCCCTAACCAATGAAATAAATCGACAACACTAAAAAATGAAGTTTATCGAGAACAATAAAGAAACCCAAAACTTAAAAGGGCAAATGAAAACGAAAATTAATAGGGAGAGCGAAAGAAGAGGGATACCGAGAACAAGAGTGGCAGAAAAACCCTAGGAGAAATTTCTGTTCGCGTCCCCTTTGAATGCTAAAGTTGCTCGGAAAGAATATGACGGGATGGAAATAAAATAGGAGAGTTAAAAAAACATTTGAGAATAAATTTATCACAATGTAATGTTAACATAAGAATTTTGTATCATTTTGTTTACTTTATTTAGTATAAAATATAAATACAAGATGATATTGTTTAGTTAAAAAAATATTAATAGCATTTGAATATATGTATATATATTTTAAAATTATTTTTATGATATATGCTATTTTCAACAACTTAAACTTTAATATTCTTTTTTATAAAAGTTGTTAATTTTATTAAAAATAAAAAAATATTCAAATTACAATAAATATTTATAATCATGATCATAAACTAAACACATAATAAATATATTTTCCTATAATTATTAACACAAAAAATTAATCACTCAAGATCACACAACGACCATACAAGTAAAAGATTAAAAACATAACCAAATTAATTCAAACAAAAATCATATATGAACCGATCTTATTGCGTTGACAAATGCACCATAAAAGGGGATTAAGCGATTCAAGGATCACTAATAAATTGTAAAACAGAATCAAGTGACATGAAAAATCTATCAACGAACGTAAATCGTGAATTCAAATCAAATTTGAGGATCTAAAACAAGGAAGATTAACATGATAATAAATAAGTGTCATATTAATTAATAGTGACAATGTCAAATTTTATTCTGAGGGAAAATATAAACAAAAACAACAGTTAAACAATAAAAAATATACTATAAAAACATAGTATTATGTGCTATAAAGATAGAATTATTAAAAATTTTAAAAATAAGAAGAAAAAAATAAAGATATATTATAATAAAATAAAATAAAAGTAATAAATACCAACGGTTGACGATCAGGATCAAGGCAGAGTTAAACTTTAAGACAAATCCTTCAATAACTACATCTACACAATATATATTGTGTATGTTATTAATCAATTAAGAAAGTTATGAAAAGATATTATCTTGTAATTACCTTGAATATTAAAAACACATAAAATTCTTTATATATATATATATATATATATATATATATAATATATGATCTAGCAGCTTTAAGAGGGGCAGTGGAGATCTCCTTGATTCTTCAGCAGCTGTCTCCTAACTTACAGGAAGGTTTGCTGCAAGAGGATTTGCAAAGCTAAACTGACATTAGTTTTGTCTTCTCTCTTATTTCTCTCGTACACACTGTTACACATATCAGCAGAAAAGAGAGGAGTATCATTCTTATTGATAACCATAGCAGTTGTTTATACATGAGAAATGACAGAGGAGGGTCGTCATCTTCAAGTAAAGGCAAGAAGAGTAATTCGGAGAAGCCTAGGCCGCCCCGGAGAGGGCTTGGTGTTGATCAATTGGAGAAGATTTTACATGGACAAATGGGTTCATCTTACCCTGCAGATTTCAACCACGTATTCTCACCTTTCACGCTGAATTTTTACCATTTTTCTGCCTTCCCTAGCCCTTCTTATTTCTTGGATGATATATGTATGTGTGTGTGTGTAAATGCAGGAAGACATGAAAGCCCAGAAAGCTTATTCATGTTTTTCTTATTCATCAACTTCCTTGGCTTCTTATTGTTTCCACCCCACCATGATGGTAGGTTTCTTTCTACATGATTTTCTGTTGGTGATCATCCATTTTCATCTGCTCTATTTACTTTACGAATATATGATGATGTATGTACAATGTACTGCTTTAAAGCAGCACTCGTGGAAGAATATTTTTTTCTATATATGCATATATCCTTCCATCATCATCATCATTAGAAATAGCCCTAGATAGTAATTTCCCCCAAGAAACAAAACCTTCACTTACCTCGTATTGCAGATGAGGCACTGCGAATATTATCAAAGTATCATATATGCTGATTCCTTACCTACAACTACAACAAGGTGCATATATACATACATATATATATATACAACTTTCCAATTTCTTTTAAAAACAATTCCCTTTTCTAGTGCAATTCTTGTTTCTCCTTTAGAAAGCTTGTATGATATATACATTTATATATTTATATATATTGCTTAATATGTTTCCAATCATTTGTAACAGTTGGAACACCAGAAACGGCATATTAGACTGTCAATATTCTGCACAACCGATCAAGACCAGACAGCTTCTAAATCTACTAGTAGGGTTGCCTTAAACATTCTTATATAAATATCGATTGAATGATACACACATTCTTATATAAATATTTTCCTATACGTACAGGATTCGCAACCAACAAAGAGAAAGCAGAGAAACAACTCAATGGAACCCAGCAGTCAGAATTCTGAATCAGGTGATGCACGAGAGCTAGATTTGGAGCTCAGACTGTCGTTGTAATCCTTAACTTTCTTCTTCCTTAAATACATATAATATTGCATTATATATATACAGTAGCGGATGTAAGTGTATTTCACAGTTGACAAGTGTTGATTCTAGAATCCAAATTTCTTTCGATTTGTTATCTATTTTATTAAAGGTGTTCATCATGAAATTTTATTTGTGCATACTCATATGAAAAATTCATGTTGTTGATATATATGTGTCCATCTTAAAAAATATTTTTAGATCTGTTAGTATGCATGTCTCTAAGCAGGTTGATGAAAGTTGTAGAGGTTTGATTTCATTTTAGAAGAATCTTGTGAAATGAATTTTGAGCTTCTGCGTGGCGTGAGATACAATGTAAAGTTGATATTTTTGTCCATGAATTTTCGAAGAATATAAGGATTAGATTAGTAATTCTAAATAGTTACTTTATTAAGTAAAGAAGGTGAAAAAGGAAATAAAAAACAAAAGATGTTGAAAACCACGATGTCAATCGAGTACTATTATGTGGGGATGGATGGTTATCAATTAAGTGGGTTATCTACCTTTTTTTTTTTTTATTTTCTGTTTTTACTGTGAATTAATTTTTATTTTTGCGGTGAAAATAAGAGATTATTGTTTAAATACTATCAACTATTTAACAATGAACGTCGATGCATTTAATCATTTTTAGAATGGTTGTGCTTAAACATTTGTCTAAAAATTCAAATCAAAATTTTATATTTAAATGATTCAAATGTTATTATCAAATTTTATATTTAAATTAAATATTATTATCAGTTAAATATTTAAAATTTCATCATATTCTATTAAGCAAATATATTATTTACTTTTATAGTTTAATCATTGCTAGTCGATTTATTAATCGATTAAGTTGACGCGAACATTATCTCTTGTATCGAGCATAATATAATGAACTTCTCTATAGGCAAAACTTTATGAGGTAAGATTATTGTTTGATATGAATTATGTAAAAAAAGCCTCTTGTGTTCCTATTTATGTATTTTATATTTCAGTAATTCACCCTAATTACAAAATTGACTTAAATACTGTTCGTCACAACTACACCAACAATACGTATACATGATTTCATCAACGAAGTTTTAAATTTTATACGTCATCAGTAAATTTAATATTAACAATTTGATATAATATCATAAAAAATTAAAATTAAACTCATCTATATTTATTTTTAAGGTATCATTATTTGGTTTACTCTTCTGATTTACTGATACTAACAATGCATTAGACACAATAAATATAAAATATTTACCCTTTAAGATTAAAGTAGTTAATGAACGTGTATGCAATTAATCGTATATATACTTACAAAACTAAAATAGTTTTGGTAATAACGAAAAAAACAAAAACCAAGTTGCCGACATATTTAATTATGGAAAGGAGATAAAGGAAAGATTTTTAGCAGTGCCCAATAACACTTGTGGGGAAACTTGAGAGATTTCAAATTTCCCAATCAAGAATATAGTACATCTTTGATGAACGAAACTTTCCAAGATAGGTGAGGAACATGGATATGTGCCCCCTCTATGTGAACAAGAATTGACCTAATTTCCTTTACAAACCTATTATGTATAATTACTCTTTACTGTTTCTTGTCCTTTTCTCCTTGTTTAATTGTGATCTCTCTTTGTGATTAATCATTGGTGAGACAGAGGAAATAGTTTTGAACTATGTTAATTTAAAACCAAGACATAGCAAGCCTTTTTTTCCCTGCTTCTGTTCATATGAGCCTTTGCCTTTTGCTGGGTGGAATGGACAATTTCTTTCCCTTTGCATTGGGCGCTTGTTCACTTTGTCTGGGTTGGCCGCCACTTATGTGTTTATGTTTTTTTCTCAATTAATTAATTAATAATTGACTTCAAATATTATATAGATTTATTATAAAAGTGATTTTTAATTTGTTTTATTTATAATTTAAGATTTGGATCTCTGATTTTATTTAAAAAATATATAATACCTTATTTTATTAGACTAATTGTGTTATATATGTATATATATGAAGATATTGTAGCTTGAAATCCACTAAGTTATCTTTGAAAATGAAATATCCACACTGTGTTGATATTACATGCACTCGACATTAATTTGCGACTGAATTACACGGATTTATTGCATTTATAGCTCAAAAAGAGATTTAGATTTTAGACTAATAATTCGATATTAATTGAAGATTTTGTTATTCAAGAGAAATGTAAAATAACCAGTTGTTTTATAATGGCTTACTCTTTTCTGTTCCAATTAATACAATAACAAAAAATAGTTAAAAAATAGTTATGTAGCCTTCATGAATTTAGGTTTCAAATATGCATTTGATACATAAAATATGGAGTAATATTTTAAACTAGATAATAATTGATAAATTTTAATATATATATATATATATATATATATGGAGTATTTAGATTTTTTTTGTTAGACCGTATATCTTCCTAAAACGGAGTTTGAACCATTCATGTTTAAGAGATTATAGCCATTGAAAATATAACAGCATTGGTTTAATTAGGAGTAAACGCCGGATTCCCGTAAATTTCATGCACTCGAAACGTTCAATGCGACGACCAAATGCATATAAAAGGCCACGAACCCTTCCTGGAAAACTCAGGCAACAGATCTTAGATAAAAAAAACATTAGATTTAAGTAGTAGTAATAATAATGGTTAATATTTGGAGAGGATTTATTATTTTACCTCTCCTTTTTATCTATGGAAACTCTCAAGGTTTGATGTTTCCTAATCTATTCCATCACTTCGGACAAACCCACAATGGGATTCAAGACCCCGCAGTTCGGCGGACCTGAGATCTTGGTTGCCGGTGATGGCGGATCTTCTGCCAACGGCAACGACGATGGCACTGCTTCCGACGGCGGCAAAGAGAAGAGTAACGCCGGCGTTTCCGCCATGCATTTGGTGTTGCTTCCTAAGATCGACCGGGCTTTGATGTTCGACGCCACGATTTGGAAGATCTCCAAGCTCAAGTTGCCGGGACCACCGTGCCGGAAAGTCGAGGGAACCAACAAAGAAGATTGCTGGTGCCATTCAGTTCTCATGGACGTCGAAACAGGAAATACATTTATCTCTTATTTTACTCTTTCTTTTTTTCCTTTTCTTTTCAAATCATGTTCTTTTTTGGGGAACAGATTGAACATGATACATGGTGCTCTTGGAATAGCCTGGTGCTCTTGGAAATGAAACATGGTATAAATTCAACTTTTCTAGGATATAATATTTAATGAACTGAGTCGAATCGAGTATTATTGAGTCAACTCATCTTGAAAAATTTAAAATTGAGTTTGACTCGAAAGCTCGCAATTTTGAATTTGTCAAGCTCGACTCAAACTCAAAATAAAAAATTGAAGTTTGCTTTATTCGAAAGCTCACGAATTTAAATTTTTCATGATCTACTCGAAATAAAAAAAACTGAAGCTCAACCCGAGTTTGAAAAAACTCGAAATATTTTCATACTTAGCTCGATTAAAGCTCAAACTCGAGCTTTGTTCAAGTTTAAACTTAGTTCGAATATGAATTAAATAAATAAAAGTCTTCTTTTATTTTAAAAACAACATAAAATATTAATATTATTAATATTTTAATTTTAAAAATTAAAAAATTAATATATTATTTTTCTAAGTTGTTTGTAAATTTTTTGAATTGAATATTTCGTTTTAACTTATTAAAAACTTTGAATCGAATGTATTCAATTTGATATTAACTCCACTTTGATCAAGTCAAACTAGAATAATGCACTCTATCTATAGTTGAGAATTTCCACTAATTTTACCATTGTTTCAATTTTTTTAAAGAGCTTGAATCTGGCATTTTTTTTAGGTTTTCTATTGAAGGTATTCCACATAAGTAACCTTAGTCGAGAGTCGATTCATGGTTTTCGGTGGTCGGAATTTCCCTACATACGAATTCGTTCCACCACAAGGGCAGAAGAATACCCGTAATGATGTCCACTCTTTAAATTCCTTGTGGAAACACATGATCCCTATGGGAACAATTTGTACCCGTTCGTTTATCTTTCCACTGACGGTAACCTCTTCATTTTCGCCAACATTTGCTCGATTCTCCTCAACCCCAACAACCACCAAATCGCCCACGAGTTTCCAGTTCTCCCCACCGGCGCCCGTAACTATCCGGCGTCAGGTAGCTCTTGTCTCCTCTCGATCATACTTAACCCTAACGAAAACCGTAGAGTGATCCCGGCTGAGGTTTTGGTATGTGGAGGAACACCGCACGAGGCGTTTGCAAAGGCCGAATTTTTGCGGCCCAAGGTGTTCCTCCTGGGGAACACTGATTGTGCCCGCTTGGATATCACCAAGAGGAACGGAAAATGGAAGATCACAAACATGCCGTCAGCTCGTTTATTGGGAGACGCGGTGGTGCTTCCTAGCGGAGATGTTCTTCTCGTCAACGGTGCAAAAACCGGTTCTGCCGGTTGGGATAATGCCAGAGCCGAATCTGAACCCAGTTTCGTATAAGTTCAAAGGTGACGGAACCAGTTCGAAGTTCACCGCGATGAACCCGTCGAACATTCCCCGTATGTACAACTCATCGTTCGCCGTTCTTCCCGACAGTAAAATCATGATCGCCGGAAGCAATACGAACGCGGGATACATGGACAATGTACGATTCCCCACTGAAGTTCGGGTCTAAAAATTCTCGCCCCATTACTTGGATCCAAACTTGGCCCAGTTCAGGCAAGAGATCATCGTCGAACAGTCCGAAAACAAGGTGAAGTATGGAGAGAAATTTACAGTACAGATTCGTGTAGGCGGTGCGATTGACGAGACAAAGCTGCAAGTGACGATTTACTCACCGCCGTTTACGACGCACGGGATCTCAATGAACCAGAGGTTGGTACAGTTGGGGATTCTGGAATTCAACAGCGGCAAAATTCTTCTTCAAGCTCCCATGAATGGAAACATTGCTCCTCCTGGGTATTACATGCTTTTCGTGAACTACAACGGAGTGCCTTGCCGCCGTTCGATGTGGATTCAGATTCTACCGTAGAGATGAAGTATTGAATCGTCGTAACCGCTAATGTAATTGTTAGTATATAAATCCAAGAACTATTGAATCATTTGTTCAACGTTGAAATCATATAATATTACGTGGACTATTGGTTTATTTATTGGCGTCGCTTTTCTATCAAGATTATTTGGTTAATTTCCCGAACGTAAACACAAATTTTAAGATAGGAGAGTACCAAAACTTGAACCCTTAATTAAAAAATTAACGTTTTTAACATTTATTCAAACTGAGTTTAATTTCAATTATACCCACTTACTCCAAGTTTTTAGCATATCAATCTTCTCCTTTTAGATTGAAAAACCTAACTTGATCTTGTTCTAAAAATCAACATAAACACAAATAAAGGGCAAGATTAACGCTCAACAACATTTTCATAATCAAATTAGAACAATGATGATGAGATGGTTTCACCTTCCTTGTACGATAATCTTGGTACAAAGTCAGTGATGATGAGATGATGAGTTCATTATAACTCATATCTATATAGAATAATTTTATCAATTTCAAAAATAAAGAGCGTTATGGTAATTCATTTTTAAAGTTTACATTTATACAAGGATTTTGTCGTATTTTTTTCTTTTTTCTTTTTTTGTCATCGTTAATCATTTTTTTTTATCTTTATAATCGACGTCATTAATTTTTGTGTTGGTCTACCATCGGTATTAATTGTTTCTCCTTTATTTTATTACCATATCTTTATTTTTTTTCTTATTTTTAAAATTTTAATAACTCTGTCTTTATAACACGATTTTTTCTGCCTTTACGATACGTTTTCGATCGTTTAATCGTTGTTTTCGTTTATTTTTTTTCTCAGGGTTCGATTTGATATTGTCTTGACTAATCAAGATGACACTTATTTATTATCATGTTGATATTCCTACTTTAGACCCTCATATTGGATTAAACTCGTGATTTGCATTCATAGATAATTTTTTCACGTCGCTCGTCTCTGATTTACAGTTTTCGATTGTCTCTCAATAACTTAATCTTATTTTTTAGTTCGTTTGTCGATGCGGTTAGATCTATTCATATCTACCTTTTGTTCGATTATGTTTTTAACTTTTTTCCTTATATGGTTCTTTTGTGACTTTAAGTAGCTAATTTTCTTGTGTTAATGATTATAGGAAAATGTTTTTATTATGTATTTAGGTTACGGTTATAGTTGTAGACCGTTATTGTAATTTAGATTTTTTATACTTTTAAAAATTGTGGATTCTATTCCAAATATATATATATATATAATATTTAGGATAAACTATACTCATAACCACCTAACTATTTTTACTTTGACTGTTGATGTTTCAATTTTGTCAATCAACCATCTTAACTATTTAATTGTTCCAATCAAGTTGTTTGTCATTAAAATTTAACATAAGAGATTACATGAAAATTAATAAAATTGATATAATTATATATTTGGTCATCATCACTTACACATTCTATCAATTTGATCCAAATTTTTATTTAATTCAAAGTATTTAATCATCCAATTTGATGATGACATGTATCCCCTTACACCCTTAAACACTTCAATATATTTCATCACAAAATCCTATGATGACACTTGTCATCATCAAATTGAAGGATTAAGTTTTTTGAATTAAATAAAAATTTAGATCAAATTGATCAAATGTGAAAGTAATGAGGGCCTAATGTATCAATTATTAACTACCAAATCAACTCCTCCGTTAAATTTTAAAGGCACATGACTTGAGTGGAATAAATAAATAGTTAGATGGTCTGATTGAGAAAATCAAAACATCTATAGTCAAAGTGAAAATGAAAATGAACAATAATTAGATGATCATAGATATAGTTTATACTAATATTTATACCATAATAGTATTTAATTCTTCTATCCGATAACTTTATAAACGAATACATCCACGATGAGGTGGATGTTGAATTAAGGTTTATTTTAAAAAAAATTACCAAAGTTTTCCTGTGAAATTTGCTATAAGAAATTTAAAGAAAAATACTTGTAAATTTGCAGTACATTTTATATGTTTACAATCATCTCCGAACAGATAAGTGAGTCAAAACATAGAGGAAGATACATTTAAAGACTTCTTCACTTTGGCGAATCTAACGCCTATCCGATTGTCGCCATAAAAGATTTATCTACCCAGCGGGACTGGCTGCATTCTCACCAAGAATTTCTTCAACAAATCTTTTCAGATTCGGATTTCGGTTTCCAAAAATCACTCCAATTCCTTGAGGAAATCGATATTATCAACAAAAACCTGCAAAATTTTTCTTTGATAAGCTAAAAGGTTTCAGCCTCCCTCCTATCGACCCAAAATGCAAGATTCGTAATAAAGTATCAATCTATAAATGGTTGAAAAGGTATACCGTCTTCCAACCATCGGGATCTAAGCATGCCGTGATCTTGGTGTTGATATCAGGTAAAGGTCCGGGTTCCCGGTAATTTTTCCACCAAAGAGTTTAACTGCTTCCGCAGTTTTGTAAACATCATCTGTTCCGATAGCAATCTGCAGAAACATGAGCAGTATGCGTTTAACTTGTTTCCATACATAAGAAATAAGGTTCAAACAAACAAGTAGAATCATAGAAACATACTGTATGCAGTTAAAAATAATGACGTTTTTAATATTTAAGTGAAAAGATAGCAGAAATATTTTTACCTGAGCGTAACCATTTCCTTTATCATAATCAGTGACCCCATAGTTATACGTTAACTCAAGCACAGCGTTTCTATCTTCGGGCCCATAGCCATCATGGCTATTGTATACTGAAGGAAAGTTCACAAACATATGTCAATTAATATAATCTAAATACAGAAAGGTTCACGGAATACTTTCATCAATCACATACTTGAATCCTTCATTCATACATACACTTCTCATCCTTCTCTACATTTTTTAGAATACATATTTTAATGAGTTCTATTTGCCATATTGGATAGAGGATAGTTATTTACCTTGTACTGAGGATTATCCCGTGTGCGAAGAAGTTCCATTCCAAAGACCTACAACAAAAGGAGATAGAGACTAAGACCTATGGAATAACATAAAACATAGATAACACCGTGCACCCTAAAACAATAATAAAATAGAAGGTGTTCGTGAAAAAGACAAGAAATAACATCAGATCATTGCCTAATATCCACAACTCTCACCTTCTCGTAAAATTGTAT